TTAATAGCCTATAGCAAAAAAACTTGGAAAATTATTTTTCCAACAGAAATAAATAGAGTTAAAATGCAAACTTTAAACCCTCATAACTTCGAAATTTTTATAGATATTTTTTTTTAACATTTTTTCCAAGTTCCTGGTATCTTACCTTATATGGCATTTTTCTCTGGGGCGCGAGTTCTGGCGCACCCTGTATGTAGTATTCTTTCTCGCTAAATTAGTTTTTTGCAGCAATTGAGAAGAGATATTAGTTAAGTTTAGAGTTTGTATAATTTTTTTTCAATATGAAACAAATGTTCAATAAAATTTGGATTTGTAGCTACTTACTGGTGTTTCAGTTTAGGGGCTAGAATATCCTTTATTTTTCTTTTATTTAAATTGCTGCAGATTCAAATATTCAAATTTTGTGATCTTTAAAATAAATAACAAACATATTTTTTGCTTATAATTTTTATGTTCAATAATAAATTATAATTAAAATTTGTGTCTACAGCCCCTTTAGACTCATTGTTTTCACGTAAGAATGCCCGGCATGCATGAAACCTCCATAAAGTCATACATTTTATCCTCGTTCGAATTTATTGTCTTGCGGCCGTGGCATCTAGTCTCTCTCCCCTGTTGGTGTTTTCGTAGTAGATGCAATCCTGTGCGAAAGATTCCGTAATTACTTGTAAATTGACTTCATAACCGACGACACTTCAAGCGCAATTACTGCGAATCTATAAGACCGTCCCCAAGCATCATAGGGAGAGCAGGAAATCTAAACAGAATCGTAAGCTAAGTGCATAGCACTGTAATGTAAGGGAGTGACAAGAGTACAGCAGGAGTGGTGCTGTTAACACGATATGTACGCCATTACGACGAATTTCTTCGCCCTTTTCCCATTTCAGACACCTTTCAAACACAGATTAGAAATTGATGGGAAATTAGGTACGAATCCGCAAAAGCCCAACAATTAGTGAGAAAAAATACGAAATTTTGTTTCCTCGAACTGAAAATACTGTTTTTGTGACTATAACTGTGTCAAAAAGTTGATCAAAAACCAGGTTCAAGAAACAATTTTTAAGTGCAAGAAGGATAGCATGATGGCATTCGACGGGTCACGTGACTTACAAACAACTGTCATGGAAATTGAGAAATGTCAAAAAATTTGGTTTTTCTTTTTTAATTACTTTTATAAAAAAGATAGAACTAAACTGTTTTTGCGCATCGTTTTTTCATGTTTAATGAAACGATTTGAAGTGGTCATTTTGTGTTTTGCATCTATTTAAATGTCGTTTTTTTCGTAACCTCAAAAAGGAGCAACCACGGTTCCGTGTTTACAAAGCCACTTCTAAAGTTAGAAGGTGCTCGCCCCTCCACTGATCAAATAAACATGTAAAGAAATAGAGATGCGCTGGGCCACTTACGCCACGTGCGAAACTCGAAAGTTATATTTACATATCCTGCAAACTTCAACACAAATGTGTCACACTGCGAGAGGGAGGTGGTGTTTTAGTTTTCGTCAGTCTTATTTATTACGAAAGGCGGACGTTCAACTAAGCGAGGATAATTTTTATTGCAGGTTGGGGAATTTTATCCTAGTATTAAACTTTTCCGCCAATATTTTAATTAAAAAGACGTTTTTAAGGTCCAGGCATGTCCATATGGCGGAAATGGATTTTTATGTGAATGTGTTATTCATGTTAGAGCAACTATCAATCACAGACCATCCGTTTTCTATTTATTTTGCTTAACCACGAAGTGTTATCTGACATTGACTAACGGCCTTGCTCAAGAATTTTCGTATTTGTGTGACATTTAGTTCGAGATAATTTTATGATTCAAAAATGACAACACAACCACTTCTGAAATAAGTAAACCAAAGGAGCGGATACTGATGAATCACCCTGTATGTGCTTCTGGCGATAATTTAGTTTGAAAAATTGAAAAAATTGCAAAAATTGTAGGGAAAACTGAAGCCAAACAGTTGTTAATTGGATTTTTAGTGACTCACCCAGTATGTGCTTGTGTTTCTAATCATTTCGTATTTCTCCTAATAAACCTCAAACTAATATACATTTAGCCATAGACTCCATAAAAGTAAATGTGGCCTGTAAATGGCTAAATACTTGAATAGGAATCATAAAATGTCTCGTAAAATTTCCCATTATGACACACTGCTTACTTTTCCGCCATTAATGGAGAAATCCTCTAAACAAGACCACAAGATAATTATTTAAAGTAAACATATAAAAGCCACGTTTTTGTTTATTTAACGTTTCGTTGAATTTTCGAATTTAAAAGTAATAAATCAGTCCGTTTGTGGTTTGGGACCTATTCATTACATCAATAAAGTTGATGAGAGACTGAAGCAACTATCGATTGAAATAGGGCAATCTGTCACTTTCAAAGGAACATTAATCATGATTACGTTTGATAAGAGTGGATCCCACAATTCCGAATCAATTAAATTTGAGACGTAACAAATAAAAAGGGTGCAGGTATTGATGTTGGGGTAATTGATGAGACATCTTTCGATTTTGTATTTAGTGGAATGCGATTTAGTTTAGACAGGAAAGAAGTCATTTCCGGTGAAGAAACATTCCATAATGTTGTAGGCTATAAATAAATAGGAAACGTTTTTCAAGCATTTTGCTGAAAATTAAAATTTTAGTCATGTATTATTCTAACTAACTACATTCTATTTTATCAACATTCGTGTCCACACTTGCGTTAAAAATCCTTTATGACAGTTTAGTTGAAATTTATGGGGGATCTAGGGTAGATTATCTTGCTTTTTCTCATTCGATCATGCAACTGTTGGCTAGAATGCTAGATCAATGCCTTCAGACATTTCACATCAAAGCGATAATAAATGGTAAAATCGAGTAAAGTAATATTGTAGTAGTTGTAAAAATGCAAGACCGCGAAGAAAGGTTTTTGTTTTGAGTTAAAATATCGTAAATAGTTGGCCTTACACACTATTGGGCTAAACCTTTTTTTGCTTGATTTATTTGTAATATAACACACTGTAACTATAAATAAAAATAAAACACAACTAAACAAATAAAAATTTGTTTATGTTTAGTGCATTTTTTTCTTTTTTCTTTAAATGTTTTTTTATTTTTTTTTGTAATAATCTTGGTAATTTTTCAATTTTTACTAAATTTTGAAAACTTATTTATTAAAAATTCTGATGCATAGAGGCTGATTCGCCTAAGATGACGAATAAAATGCAACACAACATATTCTTTCTACAAATGCGTATGCGAAAACATGTCATTTTACCTGAAACAGCATATGTTTATTTCTGAAAAGCTACATTTAGTCTTTTTTCAGTAAATTATAATACTGGCTTTCGAAAATTTATGATTTTTGTCTTCACTTTTTCTGCTTGGAGCTCTTGTGTTTTGTAATAAAAAATTGCCCCGACATCTAGCGAATTAAAAAATAGTACATTATGTTATTAAGAATGAAAGTGATAGTTTATGTGGTGAGGCTAAACGTTTATTTTGACGAACGCAGTGAGGTTGAGCCACGTAAACTTACTTTTACTTCGAGTAACATAAACTATTTTCTTCGCAAACGTATTCAAAACGAGAGTAAAGAGCAACACTATAATTAGTAAGTAAATGAACAAAATAATTAGGACGATTTGCAACTAATAAAATTACAACAACGCTTACAAAGAAATATCACGTCTCAGTATCGGAATTTGTATTGACATTTTCAAATTTTTTAATTTGACTAGTGCAGTTAGGACAAAATGTCAATGTCTGATGACCTACAATGAATCTCTCCGAAATTACTGAAACAGTAAAAGAGACAAAAAAAAACAAAAGTAAAAACGCTTAAGCTAAAAAACAGAATTTCTACTCCATGGCTAAAAGGTAAAATTTTTACTTATGATATGTTAGTCATAAAAGTGGTCACTTTTGTGACGTTTGCAGATAAAATATTTTTTGGCAATCTTTTTTTTTCTGTATTTTTCAGTTTTTGTGTATTGATAACATGATTGCACAGTAAATTATATAAATTTATTATCAAATAAATACAAAATTTATGAAATTTTATTCTTCGACACTGTCAAAATTTACGGTTTTTCTCCAGTGTAAGGAAGTTTTGACAACTGTTTGGCATTTCTCAATACAAAACGTCAAATTATTTTTAACAGATTTAAAACAAGTTTAAGCCTTGTTGACTCTAATTCGAAGAATAAAATGTTGTATTCCACTCGTTTGAGTGTAAATCGGACGCTTTATTCCACCTCGTGGATGGTAAGCCACTCGTTACACTCGTGGTTTAAAAATCCACTCGGTCAAATAAAGAGTCCGATTTACACTCAAACTCGTCGAATAAATAACTATTATTCTACAGTGTGAGTCACTTGTAGTGAATTTTGGAAATTTGTGTGTATGCAATAAACATATCTACTAATTCTAAGTTTTACCATGAAAAATTAGTATTTTTCGTTGCATCTTTAAAAATTTCAGAAATACACTAATTGATGCATAGTGTATTCTTTCTGTCTTTTCTGTTCAATTAAATTTCTAATTGAAATAATTTGTGATTTTGAAATTAGGAATTTTTTGAATGTTGCCAACTTAATTCCAAAGTTACAGTTCACTTCGACTAGAAATTTAATTGAATCATAGTAGTACAAAACTAAAATCGCAATGAATAACGATATTTTTGTTTATTTTTCTTAAAATTTGCAACTTTTAAGAAATCGACACTTGTGCGCATTTATAAATAGCAAGTTTCCACAGCAAATTCGCGTTTCTTTGGGCGAGTTAAATAGCTAAACAATCACGGTTTTCTTTCGAACTTAGATAAATCTCCTCGATGCACCCAAGTCATAAACCTCTCCGAAAATAGCCTCCACTCTATCCAAGACAAACGAGGAAAATCCACCGCAAACAAACTCTGTCAGTCAGCGCATCGTCGTTTCCTCAGTCACGTTTCAGTTTTTCAGCGTTTTCAGGTACCCACCGCGTGTCTGTTTCAGTGCGTGTCGCGCTTGCGTGTGCGTTTCGCCGTCAAAAACGTCCACCGAACTCCCGATTTCAGTGCGCTTTTAGACGCCTGAAAATTCGCTGTCGGCGGCGACGTGGAAAATTGCCGGTCAGTGGCGGTCGTGTCATGAAGCGGTGAGTTTAATTCGCGGAACGGATGGAAAATGCGCTCCGAATACGAGTTTTGGTGAGGGTGCGTGTGCCAAATGGAAATTGTGTCACGGTCTAATTAGTTTCTTAGAGAATATGGTGCGAAATTATGGGCAAGGAAGCGGATGGTGGAGGGTTTTTGTGCCTTTTAAATCGATTGCTATTTCCTGTTACTCCTTTCTGGGAGAAACACCATTTTAATTGTACCATTGTTTCGACGACTTTCTTCACAACTTTTACTGTCAAGCTCAATAAAACATCAAGTAAATGAAACGAAACAAAATGCCATGTGCTTAGAATTTTAACAGTCACAACTCATAAATATCACTTTGTTTGTCTAATTCAGAAATTTAAATAAAACAAAAATAATAAGCTGGATTTCCATAATGTTTTCTTCATTTAAATAGGACGGAGGCAACATATGTTACAAATACGGATTTACCACAAAGAAAAGTTCCTTTTCAGATTTGTTGCTTTTGTTACATCACGTCTAACATGGAAAGTGCAATAAAAATATTTCAGTTTTATTTAAAGAACTGAGATTTTAAATATAAAAGTTACTGTAACTGAATTGTGTATTAATCGGTGATTCATAGTAACAACGATCACTGCACTCGCTGCGGTTATTAATGAACAAAGTAAAAATTGGTTACAATTCAACGCATTGAAAGTGTTATGTCACTAAATTACGTAATATTTGCTGGGAAAACGTAAATCGCCATACATATCGAATTCGTGGTAAAAATGTGAATCAAATGAATATAAACGCAAAATTATTCATAGGATGTCTACTTACTGATTCATATTCAATCGTCCTACACGCCGACAACTTAATAACAACATAATATACATCAAACAAATGACGAATGAACTTAGAATCTCATTAATATGTAGGTAGATACGTTGATTAGATCTGAAATTTATTCAAAGCATGATAACGTTTAGATGTTTCGTGTGTGTCTCGAAATAATTTGCTTTGTCTCAACCGAAAATTTGCGAATTTAATATTCCATCAAAGTACGGATTTAGATTTGGATAAGAATAGACTATCTAATGATATTTTATTATCTAATGTTGGATTGCTACGTTTGAAAATAATTTGATTCTTCGATGAGCTAAGTTTGACGTGTTTTGACGAGACTTTTTTAGAGCGACAAAACAAGTGTTAAATAACAACAAAACGAAAGAAACAATCTTACAAACACAATACGTTTCTAGATTTTACTCTTATATTTACGAGTAATCTAAGATTGCAAAAAAGTCTTTGTTAAATAAGTCAAATTAATTAGTTACTAATTAGATTGTTAAATGGCAATTTGTAATTTTGCCAACATAATACGTGATAATGAACTCAAACAGTTCTACTCGTATTTAATCACCTGGTCACTGTTAGATAAAGACTCTTTAATACCTAATTTTATTGGATAAAGAGAGAGAAGAAATAACAGGCCGGTTAAAACGTATGTCGCTACGTTTCTATTAAACAAAGATACATACAGAGTGGATATAAAGTATGGGTTTTTTAAATCATCACAATAATTAATATAAATTAAAGTAATATAAAAATGTGATCGTATTTTGAGAACGCAATTTTGTTTTGTTTTTGAGTTATGCGATTTTTTTTGTCAAAATTGCATTGTATCTATTTTTTTTTTTATGTAAATATAAAGTGGATAGTTGTAATTCTTAGATCATAATCTTTATAAGAAAAATGATTTTGTAGTGGGTTGCCATTTAAAAGAATAACAAATTTTGTAGAAATTTCGAAAAATTTTATTTTTGATAAAACATCACATTTTTATAGTACTTTATTATTCATCAATTTTCCAAAAAATAAATAGTTTAAGAAAAAAACGTTTGGTTTCATACTTTAGATTCATCTGGTATATCGTATCTAATCCTTTTATATTTACCTAAAAACAAGTGGAAAAGCTTTGTACGTCATTCGGGAGTGAACGAAAAATATTTGTTGGTAATTAAGATATCTTTTTGAAAATTGTCAGTTAAGAGTCTAAAATCGGCACTAAACTAGTTCATTAAACTACGGTTTTGTGTATTGCCAACTTTAATAACAGTGTTGTCAACTTATTGTCTTAATGTAAACATGGGATAAAGTCATAATTCTATTGCTAACGTATATTTGCTTATAATTCTCTCATTCTTAGTGGAAAATAAGACTTTAGTGCCTTGATACATAAATAACTATTTTCACAGTTTTTAAGATTTTGCTTGTTTTATTTTATTTTTTTATAATCAATATTCGTAAAAACGTTATAACACGTTTAAACCAATAAGCAAGATATGTCAAGATTAACTAAAATTACAAAATATTTAATAATAATAGTAATAACATTTCTGGATTAATGTATTTAGATCTATGGTGAAATGCTAACAAATAGTTAATTAAGTATTCTTTCACAAGAACAAACGAAATTAGTAAAAAATTGATCTTAGCGGTTTACAGCAATTTGAAACAAATATTACAGTGTAATAAACGATTTTTTTGTAAAGTAAATAATTAGAAATTTTTAAACTATAATAGCTAAAACATTCCAAAAATTGGTTGACCTCTAATTAAATAATACATTGTTACTTTAAAAAAATCTAAAGTTAATGTTATTTAGGGTGATTCATATAAAATTATGTGCTTGACGAACTTTGGATAAATTGATACATGAAATTGTCATTATGTTTTGGATATTTTTGGAACAAACATCACTTGGAGAGATTAAAGATAGTGATTTTTGGATCTAGTATTTTGCGAATTTTGCAACCTTTTTTTCGTTACGCTCTGTACATAAAAACAAATATATTTTTTTAAATTTAATTGCGAATGGCGATTTTTCATAAGTTTTTCCTCTAATTAAAAAAGTTATTTATTAAGTTTATAATCAAATTCAGAGATTATGATATAGTTAGGACCCAAATGTTGGTAATTTTGTCACCATATTTGGGGCGCGAGCTAATTACAAAGTTCACTGTTGGGATTTTGCCCAAATTAAAGGATAAAGTGTCGTTAAGTCTTCTGGAATTGCATACAGGTGGCCAATATATGCCTAAACTAATCCTTCTGATCACGAAACTTGATAGTTTCTATCATGGGAAAATAATGAGTTTCAGGTGTTACATTTTTCCTATTTGCTGTTCCACAATGAATAATGAATGCCAATTCGCGAAGTCGATGATGTAAGATCATTGTTCCATTCCAAGCTGTCGAACGTGATCGAGAATGTCTAAATGACGGATTTCCGGTCACAAAGTCGTGTCTGCCACCACTCATTAAATTTATTTTGAAAAGCTTCCACTTTCTGCTTCAGCCGTTTTGTTCCTTGACATAAATCAATTTGTGCAGACGCTCTCTTACCACCGGAATGGATATTCCATGTTCGGTATTAATCAGTTTTCGATCGGGTGAAGTGTGGGTGAACGATGCCGTTTTTCTGCTTTGAACTCGGTTAAATTTGAGTGAAAGTGTTGAAAATGGTGACGGGATAAGCTTGAGGATATGTTTCCGGGGTGCATCCGGGGGCCCCGTTCCACGCAGGGCTCCACGGATGATATCAGCAAGCAGACGAAGTCCATTGTTCAGGTTAGTTGCCGGATTTATTAATCTCGCAGGTGCAATGAGGAAACTTGAACGAGAGATGCTTACGAGACGCTTACAGGGAGGAGAAAATTATGACAAAGTTGGAGTTTTTAATATGGGGGGTTGGCTTTATGGCATGGAGTTATACTGTAAAAATTAAATCGCCCGGAAGCGCGACCGAGGTTTATTTTTTTGACGTTTGCGTGGAGATTGGCTTAGTGAAGTCAATCGGAGACAGATATGAAATTTATTCATGCAAATTTTGGCAAATAAAGCTAAAAATCTGTTTTAAAATATTGTTTGCTTGCAATTCAATGTTTTTATCAGGGTAGCGTGTTTTTCTAAAGTTATGTTGTCAACACTGAATATGGCGTTTTTTTGCTTAAATTATTTATTTTTTGGAAACAAAAACTAATTCATGGAGAAACTACTATAAAAATCTGGACATTTCTCAAGAATACGTAATATTTTTGAATATTTTTTTTTGTTTTTGAGTTATGCAAAATTTTTAATATTTTTAAATGGCAACTCACTATAAATTTTTTTCTACTAAGAATTACAATTATTTTATTCAATTTTTAGCGAAAAATATTTTTATATACATTCATAAAATGAAATTGCATTAGGTATTACATTTTTTATAGCACTTTAATTTATATTAATTATTATTTGACGAAGACAAATGAGTAAAACAACTTTTGGTGTATACTTTTTGTTAATCCTGTACGTAGTACAAACAAAAGATTTCAAAAATGCAGTCGAATGAATTTTTAATTTTTATTACATTTTTGATAATTATTTTTTGAAGTAACACAATCTATTAAACAAGAAATTTTTTTAAATATTTTTGTTGTTGAAATTTATAGTACAAATACTTTATCTAAACCGTGTGTCTACACTTTTGTGTAAATCTTTATTCAATAGATATGTATATGTATTAACAACAGTAGATTACATGCCCGGTGGAAAAGGAGTCATTACCTCGAGAGTTGACCTCGAGGTTTGTATACTATTTTATTTACAATCACATTTGCTATGCAAACTAATTAAATTTAAATTTTTGACATTTGATGATTTCATAACCTTGGTAATCTTTCTCCACCACGGAATGTAATGACAAATTTCTCGCCCTATAAAAGGTTAGAAATCGTCATATTATTATAGTGAATGTGAATAAAATATTTTAAAAATATGATAAAGCTTAATCATGTACATTGTAATTCTTTTCTCTTTAATATTTTTTTTGATAAAAAATGAAACAAGAGATATAAAACATGTCTCACATCTTTTGTATTTTTATCTTTACGTATTAACGTCACTAGATCTATGACAAACGTCAAAATTTGTTTACAAGCTAGATCAAAAAGTACTTATTAAAAAAAATGTACTTACTGTTGTAATCCTTCATAAATTACTTTCAAACCACTGGATGTAATTTTTCGATCTCTAAAAGGTTAGGAATCGATATATTATTATAGTGGTTGTGAATAAAGTATTTTACAAATATAATCGTTTAATTTTTTTTTTAATCAAAAATGTGAATTATGTTTTTAATTAATTAATTTTTTTTTGATTAAAAATGCGACAGGAGATATAAAATTTAACATATATTTTCTGTTCATGTACAGGAAGCCCCAGAACTCGCGCCCCAGAGAAAATTTTCAAGTAAGATGAGATACCAATAACATTTATTTTTTGACATTTGACATTTTTTTATATCTATTTAATGATACTGATGATCTTGTATACATATGTTTTTTATACAGAGTGGTTATAAATGATTTTCATCTAGACAGCTGTGAATTTTCCATGTAAAATAAAAAATGCCGCTTTACGAAAATAGGGGTACCTACTTGTTGTAACTCAAAATTAAAAAATCGCCGTTTACTAAGCGTCCACTTCAAAAATAGACTTCAATTATAAACTTGTTGTCTTCCAAAGTATACATTATTATCGATTATTATTGGAAATTAGTTGAAACAATAAAAAATTAATTAAAAACAATTTATTATTAATTAATAAGTGACACTAATGACAGAACTAGAGCTTTCAAAAAAGTAGAGCGGCACAAATAAAGTTACATGCAAAAAAATTCCAAAGCTGGCTAGATGAAAATCATTTATAACCACTCTGTATAATTATTTAGTAAAGGTACAAAAATTTTGCCAATAAAAGCCATAAATAATATTGAAGAGAGTTACAATTTAGGATACAGCGTCCTTGTTTGCTCTCCTAATAGGCTGTAGCAAAAAAAGTTGGAAAATTATTTTCCAACAGAAATAAATAGAGTCAAAATGCAAAATTCAAACTCTCATAACTTCGAAATTTTTATAGATAAAATTTCTTTAACATTTTTTCCATGTTTCTGATATCTTACTTTATATGACATTTTTGTCTGGGGCGCGAGTTCTGGCGCACTCTGTATACATTGTTTTTCATCTTGTCATCCATGGAATTTTTTTACATGCAAATTTTTCTGTGTCGCTCTACTTTTTTTTCAACCAGATAGTTTTGTCAACAGCGACAGCTGTCAATCGAAATAAATTAACGTCTGAGGTTTATTAAATTCAATAGAAGAAGTTTTTTTGAATCTTAATTTTTAATTATATTTATACTAAGATCCTTCTGGTACTAAAACTTCAACGTTGACATTTGAGACTGAAACTTAAACATTAGGTGTTTACATTTGTGTTACAAACTCGAGAACTAAGATTAAACCTGTGAAATTCTATTAGTTACAAATTGCTTTAGAGAATTAACTCGAATATCTCTCTTAATCTCATTTATGATAATTGATTAAATTTATGCATACATGCGAAAGGCCTTAAATATTTGTTTATTTTAATATTTAAATTAGTAATTGATAATTATTATAAAAAAAACAGAAACGCGCGAAACCTCACTGAAAGTGTGGAAATTTTGAGTGAATCATTTTGATTTGTTTCATATTAGACTCGTTAGTTCGTTGTCATAACGAGTAATTAAAAATAGAAAAATCCAAGATGAAAGAGTGACTTCAAACGAACGCTGCGCTAATTTAATTAACTCAGACTCAGTGCCAAATTATTTTAATAAATCATTACTGTCATCTTTTTTTTCACAAAAATAATAAGTCACTAGGAGACTATAATTTAGTGAAAAAATGCCCAATAAAATCGTCCTCCCTCTCCCAAACTATGTAAAAACATCTCTCCCTAGTTTACACAGACGCCTCTGTATGTGTGTTGTGCGATGATTTACGACGTTGCTGAAACTTCTAAAATGAGAAAAGCAGAAGAGAAGACTCTCTGATCTCAGCCAATTCCCAATTCTCCTTCCTTTGATAAATTCACAGAACCCTGCTTATTTGACGAAAACTATATTTACACTTCGGGACTTGATTGAACGGAGGCACACCTGACGCTAGACGAAGGGAAAAATGACAATGACAAAACTGGAGAAACCTCTCCTCGAGACTGAATTTTTGCGACAATATCTCATTTTTCTGAAAAATACGGAAATTTGCCAGGGAATTAAAACAATCACTTTTTGAGCCTAATTAACTTGTTATTATTTTATTATTTTTATTGATTTTCACAGTTTTTGTTCTATGAATATCATTGATATTGTTCACGATTTTATCGAGAGAAACAATACACCAAAACATGAAATGTTGTATCAGTCGATTATATCCTTACACGAGTTGCACATAAACAATGAAATGTAAATAATATTTACACCAAAAAGATAACAATCTGAACAAAACTCACACGCTATTCCTTAAACAACTGACTGTTTTGTGACATCTAACAAAATATTATAAATTTCATTCGTGCCAGACCGAGGCTGCTAATGAAAATTTCAGTTTTATTGTAACTGAAACTAAAATCTATGATAATGCAAGTTTCAAACGAGAATTTTCACGGTTATTAGTTTATTGCACTTATTTATTAACTTACTTGTTTGTTAATTGATTAATGTTACATAACGCTGAACTTGCAGTAATGAGACATTATTTCTGGTGGATGCGCTAGGTTTAATCATAATAATTGAGCCACAATTGGAATTTACTATGATTAAACTTGTAACAAACAAAACTGTTGTGTTTATTATTTAATTACCGAATCATTAGCGGAACAGAAGCGAAAATTTGTGGAGTTATTGCTGGTGACAGATCGGAGTAATGCTTTGATAAAAAATTACTTTTTTCGTCTGGAATTGATCGGAGGATTAATTGCTTTTAACGTGAAATTTGAGACATTAATTGCACCATTTTGTAATTCATGAATGAAATTATGAGATGTAAGTAGTGGGGGTTTAAGTTTAGATCTTGCTAGTAAAATGGGAATGTGCTCTTTTTATATTTCAGCGGCTTTATTAAAGGGGTGTTTGATCTTTTGCTTCAGGGTAGAGGAAACGAGATTTGTGAATTGTATTTTAGCATCTTTTTCAGTTTTATTGTCGCATTTTCAGTTTGTTTTCAAATCAATATTTTAAGTGTTTTAACATTTTTTTAACAATAATTTGCTATTTTATCAATAAAACGCGAAATTTCATTTTTAAAATATTTTTTATTTATTATTTCTGCAATTTTTGGATTGATCACTTTTGACAGTAAAAAACTGGACATTATAAATTTATGTAGGTACAGTTGTCTCAAAATTTTGTTTTTGTTCTGCGAGTATGATTAGTTTTGAAAAAAAATCAGATGTTTATTGTAAAAAATTCTTTTTTATTTAATTATTTTTTATAATTAAAAATGAGACGGGAGATATAAAATTTAAGATATATTTTCTGTTTATATAATTATACAATGTGATTCAAAATGATTTTCATCTAGTCGTCTATGGAATTCTTTTCCATGTAAATTTTTCTGTGCCGCTCTACATTTTTTCGACTAGATTGCTTTTACTTTTACCATAACATATACCTATGTTGTGTCTTTTTTGTTTCTTTTTGCATTGTAGAATATCAGTATTTGGCATTTTGCACTACTGACTGCACTAATCATGTATTAGTTAAAT